TTCAAACTTGTGTTGGCAATTTATTACAACCAAAACAAAAAGAAGAAAGTGTATATGAAATTACTGAAACATTCTTAAGTAGTGGGTTTTATACTGGATGTGAAGTACCTTCTGTATCTGAATTATTTACTATTTTACAAAGAATTTGTGAGATTATTGGAGCTAGTCTTGATACTTTAAAGAAAAAAATTAATAATGACGACTGTAAACTACATCAAAAAATGTTTGACGAATTTAGGCAGTTAATTCTTTCTTTAGAAAATGAAATTAATGACTTCATTGAAAAAAATGATACTAATTAAAATAACAATTTTTATCTTTGTATTATGTTATTTTGTTTAAATAAATATAATAATTCTTTTTCTTTTTTAATAAAAAGGTATTTTGAACTACGTTAATTCTTTTTTTAAGATAAATATCTATTCTTTTTATAATAAAAGCAAAAAATAAAATATAAATAATTCATGACTTTACTCATTTCTTTTTATTGATTATTTTCTTTTTCTTTGTATTATTGTAATTTCTTTAATTAAATGTATTCGAAGATGGCACGTCAGAGACACCACATGAAACCCTAAAATAATCCCATGCTTCGAATCTCCCAGTTATCGTCTGGTTATGATGTGCCTTTGGTGAGATAATATCTATTCAACACTAACTGTTTATTATTATTAATATTTATTAGAAGTGATTATTATAAAAGATTATTATTCATTAACGTGTATTGTTATTCATTAACGTGTATTGTTATTCATTATTAATTATAAGGATTATTATTTACTAAGGAGGTATTATGTATTAAGAATTATCAATTATTAAAGAAGACGCATATATAATTGATATTGTTGCACAAAAATTAAACATAATGATATTATCAAGGAATAGGGTTTCTTTAAGGGGTGTCGAAGGTAAAAGGAGATGAGCTATAACAGTAAGTTATGGATATACTCTCCTTAAAACAACAATATAAAGAATGAGAAATATTATATTACTCATTAAAATCAAAATAAAAGTCAGGCAGCAACTTAAATGAGGAACCATTTAAGTCGAGCATGCTTGCAAAAACTTTATTTCAATAGAAATAAAGCGTGTTGAAGAAACTGATTCGCTCACTTCTCAACATGATGAAAAACCTAAAAATAAGGTTAATCATAATTGATTTCTTTTTTTTTTTTTTTTTTTTTATTGTAATTTCTTTAATTAAATTAGTCTTTTATTTTCTGACACTTTCATGATATTTATTCTTTTCATTTGTTGGAATGAGTCGATTTTAGTTAAGAAATTTTAGTCAGACGTTGTTTAATATATTTAATTTTAAGTGAATTTACGCTATTAAAAGCTTTGTTATATTTCCATCTCCATCTTTAGTTCTAAAACAAAATACACAAAGAAATTTTTTCCTTCATATTAAAGATTAATATAAAAATAATTTTGAGTAGAAAAAACTAAAAAATGATAAAATACTTTTTTTTTTATGAGCAGTCGACGGGTTAGAGGGAAAAAAACAAGATCTGCAAGTGTTGCTATTAGTGAACAAAATCAAATCCCGAAAATTCAACAACAAAAGAAAGTTGAGGAACGTTCAATAATGTGGGATAATATATTACCTAAACCTGTTGGAGATGGTCGTATAAAAGATAATGTACCAATTCCAGAAACAAGATTATTACCAGAAAACTTTTTATATGCCGATGAAAAAAAACCTAATTTATCATTACTACGAAACCATTTAAGTAGAGAAGGTTTACTTCATCCTGATTGTGCTAAACGAATTATCACAGAAGCAACAAACATTTTAAAACAAGAACCTAATATGATTGAAGGACAAGCTCCAGTAATTATTGTAGGAGATCTTCATGGACAATTTTATGATATGTTAACAATATTTGATGTAAGACCACCAGAGAATGAAGAAAACACATTTATATTTTTAGGTGATTATGTTGATAGAGGGAGTTTTTCAACAGAAATTATATTATATCTTTGTGCATGTAAAATTAATTATCCTCATAGGTTTTTCCTTTTAAGAGGTAATCATGAAAGTAGAATTATGTCTGAAAATATGACATTTGCATCAGAATTTACTCGAAAATATCAATCAAATGAATTATTAGAATTAGTTTATACTCTTTTTGATTCATTTCCTATTGCTGTTCGTGTAGGAACAAAAGAGTTAGGAGATTTCTTATGTTGTCATGGTGGAATTTCACCTGACATGACAAATATTTGTGATTATAATTCTATTAATCGTTTTATTGAACCACCAAATAATGGACCTTTATCTGATATTTTATGGGCTGATCCATTAGATGAACCACCAGAAGAGGATTTAGATTCAGAATCTGCTGAAAATTGGTTAGATATAGATTTTATTGAAAATACAAGTAGAATGACTAGTTTTTTGTTTGGAGCAAAAAGTCTTATTCCATTTCTTGAAACTAATAACTTAACTTGTGTTGTTCGTGCACATCAAGTTATGGAAGAAGGATATAAACTTCATTACTTCTTACAAGATGTTGATGTTCCACCATGTATTACAGTATTTTCTGCTCCTAATTATTGTGACATGTATCATAACAAAGGTAGTTTTATGAGACTTGAACCTGACTCTATTTGTTTTGAACAATTTGATGCTGTTGATCATCCAACATATCTTCCTAACATGCAAGATGGTATTTCATTTTCAATAGAAGCTTTAATGGATCAATTAGTTGAAGTTGTAAGTGAATTAATTCTTATAACAAAATATACAACAGATGGACCAAAAGAGAAAGAAGAAGATGCACAATTAGAATGTAAAATTAAAGAAATGATGAAAAAGAACTCTGAAAAAGACCCAACATATAAACGTCTTGCTAAAATAAGAAAAGAATTTATGGAAAATAAAGAAAAGAATGATAGACTATTTAAAAGAGCATTAGAATTTGATAAATTCAATGAATCTAAACCAACTTCATCAGAAGAAAAAAATACAACACAAAAAAACCCTACAAAACCAGAGAGAAGAAAACGAGCTACTACTCTTGCTAATTCTAATAATCCAATGAAAAAAGAAATTATGCAATTGTTCTAAAATTCATTGAAATAATTATTTAAGTAATTTTATTGATTTAAAAATGATTATAACTTTTATTTATTTCAATAAATTGTCTAACCAGTATAATTAATAAGAACCTACACCATTAAATGTATAGTATAATGGTTTATTTTCTTGTTTCTACATTTTTATGTTTTGAAGATTCATTTTAAAATTTCTCTTCTTTATAATTCATTTTATCTTTTATTTCTTATCAATATTTCTGTATAAATAAAGTTTTTTTTAAGTTATTTTAATACAAATATATATCGTCTTAGATAATATTGTAACAATTATATTTTTTTTGTCTAAAAAACTATTCAAGATTAATGTATTTCTTTTATAAAATTTATTGATATATGTTATAGTTATTAAAAAATAGTTCCACAATTAATTTGTATTTTAACATACTCATCAATACTATAACAGATTGAAAATTAAATAAACAAAATTAGTTATTATTTTATAAATAATTTTACTTGAATAATAAAAATATAAACTAAATGTTATATAGTTAGTGTATTTTCATATCTTAATATAATTCTTATTTAATTTTATTTCATTAATTAGTTAATGAAAAAAAAGTAGTAGTATAGAGTATTAAAGATAAATTAGTATTTACAATAAGAAGGTAAAAATAATATTCTAAGTATTATATTTGGTATTTATTTTTAGAACTTTTATAAATATTTTTAATAATTAAATGAAGATTTTAACAGAAAAAACGTCAAGTAAATTACAATAAACAAAATAAAAACATATTCAATACTATTATAATTTTTGAAATAATAAATGACATCAAAGTATTATTTTAATAGATAAATTATTAAATAGAGAAATGTTATTTTATAAAAATTAAATATAAAACCAATATTTTCAAATATAAAAATGAATCAAACAAGAAGATAATCTCTTATTGACATTAAAGTAAATCCTAAAATATTTTCACCACACCATTGATGTGGGTCATTTGCTCTTTCATCTGATTCTTCCATTTTAATCCCCCAAACAGCATCAAATTTACTCGCTTCAACAAGAATATCATCTCCTGTTTCCATCAAGAATCTTCTGAGTTGAGGATTTTGAGTAAATTTAGCAAGACCTCCTTCAAACATAACAGCAGCTTTATATTCATCCCAAACTTCTTGATTAAAACCTTTTACTTTTTTTCCTAATTTTTTCATTTCATAGGGGTTTCTAGAATCTAATATTAATTTGAATATTTGATCATCTCCAAATAATTTTGCTTTACATCCCATTAGAAATTGTTCACAAAAATAGTAATGAATTCCATCATAATCAAATTCTGAAGGATACCAATTACCTAAACAACTCTTATTAACTTCTTCTTCTATTGATGGTTTCCAAAAATATGTGTATTGGTGTTGTTGTTTATTAATGTCTATATCTTCTAATAACCATTTCATTGAATAGTGATTTACCATCTCATATCTTTCTTTAATTGATTCCATCTTTTAATGAAAGAATTTTAGATTAAAAACATTTATTAATTCTTATCATAAAATTTATTAAAATAGAAGGTTTTTCTTTATATTATTATTTTTCTTTAATTTCAAAAGTACCTCAAAAACATCAAAAATATCAACATTAAATTCTTTATTTATAATAGAATAATCTGTTTCTTTTGTCACAGCATATTTTTATCAATTTGTGTATTTAATGAGTTTTTGAAAAGTAAATGAGATAAACTCAATTAAATAAGTTAAAATTAAATTATATTTTTTCTTTACTTGTTTATATAAAGATTAAGTACTTTTTTTTTAAATTTTGGTGTTTGTTTTTCATTTTGTGATTGTGTTATTGATAAAAATAAATTTGTAATAAAATAAAATGGAATTTAGTTGGAACAAAGGTGCAAAGTAGTTTTTTCAAATGAAATCGAAAAGAACTTTTGAACAATTCCATGAGTGACATTGAGAAAACACCAGAAATACTTGAGAACCAAACAAACAGAACCTCAACCCCACCATTGGAAAGTGAAGAAAAGAAAACAGATGAAGTGGTTAAAAGATTACCTTCAAAAGAAAAAAGTTCAGGTAAAAAGAAAACAAGAAGTTCCAGTAGTAATAATGAAGTAGAAGAGAATGATGAAAAAGAAGAAATAAACCAGGAAGGAAAAGACAAAGAAAAGAGGGTTAGTAAGGAGAGGTTGCTTTCATTCATGTTCAAACGAAAAACAAACGAAAAAACAACGGTATCAGAATCACCAAAAAAAAGTCATAAAGATAAGAAAAAAGAAGGGGGAGAAGAAGAAGAAGAGGAAAACCCAAAAAGAAAAGTGTTTAAGAAAAATAAGAAACAACAAATGTTGAAACAAAGTAAATCTGAGATTATTACAAAGAAAAGTGAAGAGATAGACTCAAAAGAACTCATTATTGAGCACCACGGAGATGATATTATTGACAGCTCTAGTCAAAAAAAAAATGAAGAAAAAACTAAAAGAAAAGAAGGGAGTAAAGAAAGACCGAAATCACTGAAAGAAAAATTATCACCAAGAAAAGAAAGTAAAGAAGAAAAGAAAGTAAAAGACACTAAAAAGAAGAAGGAAGTAATTGACAAAGAACAACATGCAGAAGAAAGACATAAAAATGATATTTGGAAAAGAAAAACTGTTTGTACTATGGAAAGAAGAGAAAAAAGAAGGAGTAGTGAAATAAGTATTAAAAAAGAAAAGAAAAATATTGAAGTTACTGTTGAAATTGGGTTTTTGTTACAAACATATAACAAAACATTTAAAGTAGCATCTCAAATGAAAGTTAGAGAAGTTATTGAAAAAACTATGATAAGTATTAAAGAAGGACTACATGATGATGTTGTTGTCTATCAAAATAATGGAGAGGTTGTAAATCAAGAAGAGGATATAGGTGCAATTGCAACAAATAACAAGGCATATATATATGTATCAAAAAGAGGAAGGAAATGTGCAAAAAAAATTATATTTGAATTTGAAACAGAAAAGAAAAAAGAAGAAAAGAAAGGAAAAGAACAAGCAGACCCACAAGTAGTTTATGATCTTTGTAGATGGATTTATATGCATGGAATAGAAGTAGAAGGAATTTTCAGAATATCAGGAAATAATGAATATATTAAAAAATTAATAGAGAAAGTTATTAAACATTCAACTGGATTTCTTGATGAAATGAATCATGGGGTAAATGATGTTCATAATGTTGTTGGTGTATTAAAAAGTTATTTACGAGAAGCAACAGTCGGATTATTTGATTTACAAATAGCAGAAGAAATACTAAAAAATGAAGAGAATAAACGAGAAGAAGTATTAATGGAAATAATTGAAAAATTAAATAAGAAAGACAAATATACATTATGTATCATATTAAATCTTGCTGAAGCTATTATTCAATATAAAGATGTTAATCAAATGGGAATAGGAAATATTGCTGTTGTTCTTGGACCAATGTTAATTCATTCAAATGGAGCTGTTAGTTTGATTGGAACACAAACTCAATTAGAACTTGCTGTATTATTAATTAATTTAGCACAAAGTATACGAAAAAGATTAGATATTGACACATTCTTTTCTATAGATGAGGTTGTTTCTAAATTTGAAACACCAACTGAATTTATTCATGATAATGAAGAACCTGATAGATTTGTTTATGATATTTCATGTCTTGATGAAGAAACACAAAAATTGGCACAAGACATTTGTGGATGGATGGAAGTAGTTTTAGATTCTGATAATAATGAAGAAGCAATTCATTGGATTCAAGTATATTATGAAGAGAATGAAGAACATTTTGTGTATATTGTAAACATGTTAACTCCAGACTTTGTTATTTCAGTAATGGAAAAGGTATTAGAGAATATGTTTAACGAAACAAAAAAAATTTAACTTATAAAATGATAAGAAATGTTTTATATTGACTGACTTTGTTTCTTGTTGAGTTTTAGATTTGTTTCATGTATTAACTAATTTATTGATTATAGTTTTGTGTCGTTGTTAGTTTGGGACAGTATTTTAAATAGTTAGAAAATCTTTTATTAAGTCAGCAAAAGCATTCAAATAATCAAAGCGAAAAGAATGATATTATTTATATGAAGTATCCAAAAACATTAAACTAATTTCTAATTTCTAAATAAAAATGAAATTCGAGTTTGAAGAATTAAAAAGGAATTGTCGTAAATAGGCACCATTAGTATCATAACATTAACTCTAAAACTAGTTGTTTTTTTAGTTTTAAGTCAACTTGAAAAGATCAGGTTTAATACATTATTAAAATGAATGACAGCAAATCAAAGAAACAACCAAAAAATCCTGCTGAAAGAAAATTAAATAGTTCAAATTCATTAATTTTAAGAAGTTTAGCATTAGTTTGGTTATTATTTCAAGAATGTAACTATGTTATTATTATCGATAAACAGAAGAGAAATGGTATTAAAGGGTTATCACATATCATTATTAATAAAATATTCGATTCAAATTTTACATTAATTTTTGATAGTAATCGAACTAATGCAGGATCTTGTAAAGATCGTTCTAGGTATTGCTCTTCAAAAGCGATAAAAATAATGGTTTCTTCATTAATAAAAGAAGGGTATGTATTTGATTCTTATATTAAGAAAGTTTCTTCTAAAAAAATTAATGGAGAAGTTATTCCCCCTGCAATTAAATTAAAAACAATTCCTAAACATTTAAATAGTGATTCAACTATTATGTATACTACAGAAGATATTGAACAAAAAATTGGAATGGGATGTTATAATAAACTTATGTATTTATTCGACCGAAATACAGAGTTAAAAAAAATAGTACTATCTTCATTTGCAATTAATGATGAACAAAAGTTAAAACTTCAAATCGCACAAGAGAACGTCTGTTATTATGCAGATGAAGGTTCTGAAACCGAAGAACTTGAACAAAAAGAAAATGGATAACTATTTTAGATGTCAAAAGAATTATCCAAAAAAATAAAGTAATTTCTTTCTATTCATTATACTATAATTTTATCATTTTTTTATCATTTTTTTACTTTTTTCTACTTTTTTCAATAATCTAAAAATAAATAACATTATTCTAAATATTTTTATTATTATAAAACTACATTATTCTAAACAACATAACAAACCATAAAAAATATTAAAACATCCCTTTAATTTAAATAAAATAAATTAAAATTATTAAAAGTTATGAAAAAATATCTTTTAGTTCCTCTTTACAATGCAATACCCATACAGTTCTCAATCAGGTTATCCTTATAATTATCCTCAACCAAATACTTATCCATATCCTCAACAACAAAACACAACCCAACCAAATCCTTATAGAAATCAACAAATGACTTCTTCAACACTTAATCCACCAGGAACTTATTTAACATCACCTTATGCAAATACTTATTCCTCTGCTCAACAACGACAAAACCAACCAACATACCAACCACCAACTATGCCAAATATATCACAACAACCTTCATTTGGAGTCAAGTCAACATCCTCTTATCCAACACAACAATCAACATCCTCTTATCCAACACAACAATCAACATATACAGCTCCACAAAACCCTAACTACCCACCACAGCAAACATACCAAGGTACTTATTCAACAACTCAACAATATCCTTCATCTCAGAAAGAACAAATTCTTAATCAAATAGAAGTAAATATCTTTGACCTTCATCCACCTGCAGTTCCTGCTTGGGAGTTATCAGAACAACGACTTCCTCAACCTCCATCATTTGAACTTCAGAAGAAGTGGTATTTCCCAATCATTCAATCCATTAAACCACAACAATTTTCACAAATTATTGCATGGTTTAACCAAGTTGATAAAGATCATAGCGGTACATTAGAGATTGATGAAATTAGTACAGGAAGTTATCCTGGATGTATTCGTTTATCTCCACAAACAGCACTTAGATTTATGAGGATTTTTGACACCTCTAGAACTGGTCATTTAAATATTTATGAATTTATTGCTATCTATCGTTATCTAGAAATTTGTTATGCTTTATTCAATGCATACAATGGAAGTGGACCAGAAATTATTAAGTCACGACTTACTGGTCTTGGTTTTGTTGGAACCACCCAATGCACTGTTGACATATTGTCTAAAATTTTTTCATATAACAATGTTATGGACTTAAACAATTGGGTCGCTTGTGGTGCCTTTGTTCTTCAATCAAGAGCTATCTACCAAGACCTTCTTGACCAAGGATTAATGCAAAAAACAGAAAACCCTCAAGACGCAACAAAAATTTTAGATTCAATTACTCTTCTCATCGACAAATAACCCTTTTTCATTGTTTTGGCTTTTAATTTATTGTTTACTCTCAGTTTTATGTTTTCATGCTCATTTCATCAATGCTTTTTTACAACATATTAACAATAAAAATCAATTTATATGAGTTTGTTAAGGAAATTGTACTACTCCACAATTTCTTTATCTTTCTTTAGTACATGAAAGTTAAAGCTTAAAACCAAATTATTTAAAAAAGGAAGAAATTTTAATAAATGTAGATATAAAAGAGAAGAATAAAAATATTCAAAGAAGATGAATAAAATAAGATTAGATTAAATTATATTCATTTATATTGTTATTATATTATTATTTCTATCTTTTTTAGCAGAAATACTTTCTATTTTCTTTAGTATTATTCTTTTGTATTATTCTTCATTGTATTATTATTTATTTTTGTTGTGTTAGTTTTGTTTAGTTTTCTTTTGTTGTTTTGATTATTATTGTTGAAATAGAAAGGAAGAATAAAATGATTATAGTTTTATTAATGAATAAAATAAAGAATAAGAATTATGTTGATAATTATGTTGATATATTTCTTCATTTCTTATTCTTATTTATTCTTATTGTTTCATTCTTGATTTGTGTCTATTTGTTGTTATGTACTTTTCATTCTTTGTTTTTATTCATTTTTATTCTTCTTCATTTTATATTCTTTTGTTTTCTTTCATGTTCGTTTATTTTTATTTCTTATCTTTCATTTCATTGTGAAACAGAATGTTTATTCTTTTCAACTTTGTCTTTTTCTTATTCTTTCTTATTTATTTGTTGTTAAATTTCTTTTTTATCATTTTATAACTATCATTATCATATTTCTTTTGAAATTAATTCTTCTTGTGTTTGTTTAATTAATTAAAATAATTTGGTGGTGTTTATTATCTTTTGTTATTCAAAAGATTTTTAAATCGTTTATATATTAATGAACTTGTTCATTTTATATTTGTTTTATCTTGTTGTATTTATTTAGGTATATTTTCTTTATTATTTAGTTGTTTGCTTTCTTTCTTCATTTATTTTCTATTTTATTTCATGTCTTCTTGTTTTGTTGAAATTATTCATTTGCTTATTCTTCATGTTTTTCTTCCTTTTCTTGTTTCTCTTCATTTATATTCATCATTTGCTATTTCTTTTTCTTATTACTTCTTATTTATTGGTGTTATTTCTTATGAACTTCATCATTTCATTGTTGAATTTTGCAATTATTTCTATTTCTTCTTTATTTATTATTATGTTTTTATTTTGATGTTTATAACTTCAAAATATGTCGTTTAAATACTTAAATACTCTTTATTATCACTTCATATCATTCTTTTTATCATTCTATTTTAAATAATTCTTATTCATTTGTGTTGTTTTATAGTATCATTATTTCTTTTATTATTATTATTATTGTTGTTGTTGTTGTTTTCTATAATTCGTTTATTTTGATACAAATAGAATGAATAAACAGGAAAGAGAATAATGTTAATAAACACCATTTAACATGATAATGAATCATTTAAAATTAGTAATAATCAATTGGAATGTAAATTAAAGTATCTTTATTTCAAAGAATGAATAAGTAATAGTTATATGATGAATCAGCAGAAAGAAGAAAAATACCCAAAATATGATGAGTCATATTATGGCATTAAGAAAACATATAACACAATAAACCACGAATGAGTAATTGAAACATTAAAATATTTTAATTATGAGTGTTTCATCATATACATAATAGAAAATATGATGACTAGAAAGAAGATATTCATCAATTATAAATTTAATGAATATACTGTGATGTATTAAATTAAATAGATAAATTTTACAAATGATTCATTATCAAATCTACTCTTCTATAATTTAATAAAATAAAAATTAATAAATTAATAAATGAAAGAAAGAAGAAAAAAGAATAAAAATTTCAAAGAATATAAATTCTTATTCACTAAAACAATAGATGTTACTATTCCTCTTATTGCTTGTTTGTGTGTTTGCTGACAAATATTATGTTGTTGATGAAATACAATCATTCACTTATTTCCCCATCAATACATGCACATATTATAATGAAAGATATTATGAATATTTGTTTAATGAATCAACATTGGTACTATCCATTGGTACTTATACCGATAAGTCATGCACTATCAAAATAGAAAACAAACACAAAATAATTGAAGCAAATCAAATCACTGAATCATTTAACAATTCCCTTCAATACATTCACATCCCTTCATCCGAATGTACAAATGATTTTAAATTAGAAAGAATGACAGGATATACAGTGACTGTATTTAAGAATTATTGTGTTGAAAATGGAACAGAAGGAACAGTTGTATCAACACTTCTTATAGATAACACTAACACATATGTTGGATTTGCACATGAAATGAATAATAACAAAGAGTGTGAAACATACACTGAATACAATATAATATCAGAAGTTGGATGTGATAGAAAACATAATAGATATTACGTCAATACAACTATCTGTTCAGAAGGAGAAATGTTTAATGGAGAAAAATGTATTTGTAATTCATATGAAAATTACCAATTAGAAGAAGAAGAATGTGTATTAAAAGTCGAAGAAGATAAAGTAAAAGCAAGCCAATTAGTTCCAGCATTAATAGTAGTGATAGTTTCTGGATTAATATTTATTGG